ACGTTATCAATACTCCTTGAGAAGATTATAAAAAAGAGATTACTGGATGAGTTAAATAGACAACAGATATTATCATCTTTTCAATTCGGGTTTAAACAAGGACACTCAAGTCATCAACTCCCACGGATAGGTGAAATAATAGAAGATGGTTTCGAAAACGAAATGTACACAACAGCGCTCTTCTTGGACATTAGACAAGTTTTCAATCGAATTTGATTGGATTAATTGAAATTCAAGATCCTTAAATTTGATTTACCACAATACCTCAAATCAATCCTTCTATCTTTCCTGACTAACCAAACCTTTTCCAGCAAAACCAGAGCAGGTTTCCACGAGGCAGTATCCTGGCCCCCATTCTTTTTAATATTTATTTATTTAACAATATCACCTAAATTATTCAGAATGACATAGTTATGTTTGCGGATGATACAGTCTTATTTACAAAAGATGAAGATCCATATACATACAGCAATAAGTAAATTACATACTGTTACTACCAAGATAAACAAATGGCTCAGCCTATGGAATTTAGACGAATAAGAAACCCTCAACAATTAGTTATCAACGTCAAACAGATAGAGTGGAAAACAACGAAGAAGCAGTAAAATATCTGAGGATTCATTTAGATACAAGACACATAGAAATATCATACCAACTTGAAGCTAAATAACGGTTATGAGAGATTAGCTGAATTATATAGCATCATAAACACGAAATCTTCCCTTAAACTTGAATGCACTATTCTAATTTACACATCGTTAATTCGCCCAATAGGGATGTACGCCTGTAAGATATGGGGAAATGCATCAGAATCAAATCGGAAAAAGTTGTGTGCACTACAAAATAAGATACTTAGAATAGCTGTGAACGCCGAATGGTTTATCACAAACAAGCAACTACACAACGAATTGGGCATTTAAAACGATTCAAGAGTTTATTTCAACGAAAACCAAAAAGTTCCACGAACGACTACATAGGTATGTATGAATCAACAGAACTCAACAATTTTGGCAGAAGAAATCTTCACAGGCAATTGCAACGGACATTATCCCAAGGTCTATACTTATTGTAAATTATTTTTCCTCTAACCCAAGCCAACCAACAAGGTTGCATTGTGTATATTGTTAAATAATAAAAATGCCATGTATAGCTCTAGAGCTGGTCTGGTAAATAAAAAAAATAAATATTTCGTATAAATATTATAGTTACAAATTAACTCATATAAACTTTATTCAATATTCTCTATACGACACCAGCCTAAATTTACATCTAAATTTTCTATGCAAATTTACACAGACAATTTAGCATGTGAGAAGGTCCAAAGATCGGTTTTGAATTATTAAAATTCTTTGATATCATATGTAGTGGATTAAATGACATCAAACTTTATAAGATGAAAATAAAAGCTTCAACAATTGTTTTAAAATACATACATATACTCATACAACTATACAACATCTATACGATTTTATTGTAAGTGTCGAATGTAAAATTTTTGTAAAACCTCTAATCAAATTGATTAATGCTAAAACAAAACTAACCTTTCTAAAAAATTCCAAAAGTTTGAATTTGATTCCAAGACACATTGCGCAACATATACATAAAATAGGTAGCATTTTCTATGATGGATATCCAATTAACAGATCACATATTTATAAAGAATTTGGAAACAAAATGTTAAAATTAGAAATAAAACAAACATATTGGTTCATGGATAAAGTGCACAAATATATTATTGAAATGTTATCAAAAAATTTAGAAGTTAATATTCTTGTCAGAATAGAGACATTTTTTAACAGAATTATTAACAAGTTTAGTAAAGAAATATACCCCAAATTACACACAAGCATTTTAATGTAGTTAAAAGTAGCAAAGATAGGATTAGATTACCCAACTTTCTTAAAATTAATAATAAAAATAACAACTTAAAATCCAAAAATATTTTTGACTTCGTCTCGGATGTATATAAAACGAATAGAGGGATAAATTTAACCAAAAAACAGGTTCCAAACAATATTGTTAATCTATTATCATTGGGTGATAATTTCAGTTTTCTTACGTTTGATTTCAAGAAATCTTTTCATAAAGATAGAATTCATCTCATCGCAGACGTAGAAAAGATTTTTACCACTATCAACACAGTAGAAAATCACATAAAGGTTACAAGAAATAAATATTATAACCATAAATATTGTTTAGGTGACTTATTGTTTTGTCCACACCATAATGACCCATACGATCATGACTATTTTGAATGACCTTCCATATAATCCCTTTGGGTACAACCCAACGTTTATCATCTCCCAATTTTCTATATAATCTGTTCTGAATTAATTCATAATCGTGATGTATTTGTTTCTCATCGTTATTATTCGGGGGTCTTTGCAATATTTGCGTTATTGTCATTAATTTTACATCTTGCATTTGCATTGTTATAAGCCAATCTTCTTCGTTAATCATTAAAATGTTCAAACCAGCTACCTCTTGTTCACTAGCTTTTTCTTGAGGACATCTACTCAATGCGTCAACATGTTTCATTTGTTCGGCTTTTCGATGCTCAACCATATAATTATATTCCAACAATTTCAAACACCACCTAGCAATTCTCGGTGACATATCTTGTTTCTTTACTGTTTGTTTAATTGAATAGCAATCTGTTATTATTCTAATTTGTTTTCCTAGCACGTACACTCTAAATCTCTCTAGACTCTCGACTATAGCAAGCATTTCCAATTCGTAACTATGATATTTAGATTCGATCTCAGATGTTTGTCTACTATAAAAACATATTGGTTTCCACATACCTTCAGTTTTCTGCATTAATATTCCAGCAACACCTATCTTACTAGCATCGGTGTGTACTTCCAGCTCAGAACCAGGATTGTATAATGCTAAAACCGGTCGTTCACATAACCTCCTCTTTAGTAATTCAAAAGCACTTTCTTGTTCACTTCCCCAAACAAACTTCTTATCTTTTCTGGTTAATATTTTCAAAGGTTTAATAACAATGGAAAAGTTCTTAATGAATCTTCTAAAAAAACTAGTTAACCCAATAAATTTTCGTACTTCCTGCACTGTTTTCGGTCTTGGAAAATGAGAAACAACTTCAATTTTCCTAATTCCTGGTCTCAGGTCGTCTTCGCTAATCTCGAAACCAAGGTAGTCGGTTTTGTATTTGTAACTTCAATCTTCATCTCAAATAAATCCGTGCATCCCAAAACAGAATATTTATCGGCAACCATTTGGTCATGTTTTTCTAATAATTTAACTAACTCCATTTTGTCACTTTCTTGTATTTCTGCATTTACATCAACTTTTTGCTTTTGTACTTTCATCTGCGTTCTTGCTTCTACTATTTCAATCTGACTCAAAGTATTATATTATTTTATAATACGGATTAGGTTTATCTAAAACACTTCTTCCAAGTATTATTGGTTCATTCTGGGTTGAATCAGGTACAACAAGTACTTCAAATGTCATCTCTATTCCATCTACTACTATTTCAACATTGGATTCTCCTATTGGTCGACATTTCCCTCCCCCAAATCCTGTCAGTTTTACAATAGAGAGTTTATAATGTAATTTTAATTCATTATTTCATTACCAAGATCGATAAATGCTACAATGTCCGTTTTATTAACCTGAACAATTTTATGATATTCATCTCTACATGTATATTGTTCTACTTTATTTACTCGCCTTAGTGTAGTACAATCCCTCGCAATATGTCCGTCTGTATTGCATTTGAAATGTTTTTTTTGTTTTGGTTTGCTATAATTTGTCGCCATATGACCAGTTTCACCACAATTGTAACACCTTCTTGCATTCCGAGAAGCACCGAATGACTTATCACCTTGTGGATCATGGAATGTATCTCGTTGAGTATTTCCCCTTCGATCGGACATATTTTTCATGGTTGCTTCATAATCTTTTATTTTTGATAATAAATCTTGAGTATCACATGGTAGCTAATATCACATTAATAGCTAATAACTTTCCAAGTTCTCTATCAGGTATTCCCATTATGATATATTTTACCAACGATTTTTCATTTATCTTACTCTTATTTCCAATAGCTTTCATGAAATATACATATATAATTCTCGTATGATTCATCAGGTTTCTTTTTCTTTCTTGCTAATTCAAAATGAATATTAACGTCATCAACAGCAGTAGGAAAATCAGCAACGATCAATTTTTTGAACCCAACCCAACTTGATATCCGGTCTTGTGCTCCATTAAACAATTGTGCATGTATATACATGTACGTATAGTAATTTGAAAAAGTGTTTTAAAACATCATATCAGGATTTGAGGTAAATTTTTTAACATTCGACACCGGTTATTCTTTTGTGTTTTATGTATAGTTTGCATAGTTTGAGTTTTCCATGGTTTTTGTTGTGATTTTTTGTAGATATGATTGTGATTAAGAGTAACAAACTTGTTGACTGAAGATGGAAGTTGATCCCGAAACGTCTCTAACCGTTTAATATAGAACATTTACAGAGGAAAAAGTGGTCTTTTAAACCTTTTATGTAACAACACCTCTAGTTTAATTTATCGTTTTGTTTTAAATTAGTTTAAATATTTTATTATCTACTAAATTGTGATTATTATCAGGATGGTGGAAATTGAAACAACTAAATTAATATCGTAATATGTTAATAATTGGTTATCTTGGTCATCATCCTCTATATTACCGAGTTTAATAATATAATCGGAAAGTTTATTGGTTCGTATAACGCTCGACAAATTACAACTCAGAATTAATAGATGTTGGACCGCTTTGTTTAATTCCATATATACGTTGTGGCATTTCTCGATTAGTTATGGGTACCGCTATGTTTGCGGACCTGGTACACGGCAATTTGATTTTGCCCTATGTTAACTCGAACAACCGGTGTAATATCTATTTATTGTCCGATGCGAAACGTTCGTACTGTTTATCTTGTAAAGTGCTATATGAAAATAATAATGTTACTGGAAACTATCTGTTGCAGAAAGAGTAAACGATGTTGATGGTGTCGAACCAGTTCCTTGTCAACCTTGGACATCGCGTCTTTCAAAGATGGCACAACCAAATTTAGATTACACGGGTAAGTATAAAAAACTTAAAAAACGTAGAAAAGAAAGTTAAATTTTTTTATCAAAAAATAAAGGAATTGAATACAAAAACTTTAATGGAGCCAATGTCAACTTTTGTGATCTTGGAAACTTTGAATCGCCGAAGGCGTAGCCTTATTATTTTTGCGCGTTTCAACAGGCGACGAACGAACGAAAACTTGAAACAAAACGCTTGTTTGTCGACAAGTTAGAGTTGGGGAGAGAATGGCAGCCCTCTGTGTGCGTTCGGAAGCTGGTGTGTTACAAAAGGGAATGAAACGTAAACCGGCTCAATGAGGTCACCATTCAACAGGTCTTACTTTACTTTTTCCACCGCATCCGTCCAAAACGGATTGGAAGAGAACCTTCGCTCGTCTCCTTCTATTAAACAAAAGTTGAGCGGAAATTTCTCGGAATCCCAGGTATTACCGGAAGTACTTCGTGCGGAAATTGCACAAAATCAAGTGACGAAAGGGAACAATCTTGTAAATGGAACTGTTCTTTTGAATGTTTTTTTTTTCAAAATTACTTGGTTGTAAATAAAGCTTGGAAGTAGGTATATGACAAAGCAGAATAAACCGAAACCGGTGCCGTATGTCTACAATGTAGTAGTTGTTCCGTGAATCCCACATGAACGTCAGGTCATGCATATTTCAAAACGACTACGAAGCCCTCTTTGCCTCTTTGGGCGTATAAACTTTCACCTAACACCAACGGTTTTTTGAGACCTTGTAAACCGCGAGCAGTGCATCAAACACCAGTTCTTCACTTTACAACGTTCCAACTGCATGCCGTGAAATATTACTCGTTCTGGAGAATAAATTGTGATGCAACGCTCGGCATTGCTTTTCTCCTAACACCATTCATACTGTTTACTTCTCTTTACTCTAAATATATGATTGTGATTAAAAATTTCGTTTTTTTAAAATAATGTCAAAATATAATTTTACGATAAAAAAAGATGATACATTTTTTTAGCATTCTATAGCTAAAAATTTTAAAGGTAGATTTTCAAAATCGTACATATGTACGAATTGCTATATTATGATGAAATAACCAGCATTTTATAACAAATTTAATGGAAATTTTGTGTACCAATAATTCTCCAGCACGAATTGAGATATAATGATGAAATAAAGTGCAGTATAAAGCAAATTTGATGAAGATTAAAAGCACCATTAATAACCCAACTCAAAATTCTCATTTATTTAAAAAATAGAAATCATATGTCAAATTAACGGCAGAGGCAATATGCCAACTGCAGCAAATAGCAATTTTTTAAATGCATAGAAAAAATGCTGAAACAGATCTATGGTAACACGATTTACGGATCTTCCCATTCTCAATAATGGAGAGTTTTGACAGGTATAGTGTTCTGGGACTAGGTGTTATAAATACAACCCCTATAGAACCGACAAGCATTTGTTCACATCACATTTGTTGTTCAAAAGTTTATAAAAATATAACATATCCCTACAAAAGCGACACTGGCTGAGAGTTAACATACGAAAACAAGTGCAAATTGATTCGTAATCAATGTATGATTGAAATATATGATATGAAAGGAAAATTTAAAACAAAGGTACTTGACGGATTTAGATTGAATACGCTCAATTCTAGATGTATACGAATGATACTGAGGATTCCAAACGACGCTGCAAAAGTTTTGGTGTGCTACAGACATAGGCAAAATAGAGGTTAACTAACATATGCCAGGCTTTGCAGACAACAGTATCAATATGTTTATTAAATAATAATTTGCATTCAAATGTAACACCCAAATCTCTAATAAATGGGACACGTTCCAACTTCTCACCAGCGACGCTATAATTGTAGTGGATTGTGTTTACCCTCCTAGAGAAGGAAATAATATTCTACTTTGATAAGTTTAATGAAAGGCGATTATTTAAGCAAAAAGCATGAAGATTACTTAAATCAGATTGCAACTTAGAACAATCAAGAGGTGAGAAGATACGGAGAAAGAGTTTCAAACGGTCAGCATACATTAATATAAATGTTAAACAGCAAAGAACCTAGATGACTACCCTGGATCACCTCAAGGAACCGACACAGGATTAGATAAAAAACAACTAATCGAAACAATCTGACAAAATCTCTTTTTCAGGTAGGAAGCAAACCGTTGCAAAAGTTTCCCCTGAATACCAAACTTCACTAGTTTAAACAGATCCAACCAGTCCAGTCGAACGCTTTGCTAAAATCAGTATAAACTGAATCAAATTAACAAGAATCATCCAGATAAGATAAGATATACTGGGTATATTCAAGCAAGTTACTCTCAACCGAGCGACCAGCAAAAAAACGTGTTGTCTACAATTAATTTTAGACTTGCACAGAATAGATGTGATTGAACCACTTTTTCAAATACTTTCCCAAATGCTGGCAATGCCCCATATCTATTTTCGGTAATCAGATATAACACCATGGTTCAAAGATTTAAAATGTATGTAAAAAATGTAAAAAAACAATAATTTTAAAGCAAATTTAATCAAGATTTAGTGTGCCATAAACAATTTTTTAATTTGCATAAACCTCAGTGTTATAATTTTTTAAACTCAAGTATACATTATCATTCATTTAAAAAATAAAAATGTAGAAAAGCGGATCTCGAAAGAAAGCGAAAGAATTGAGATATTACGATGAAAAAGCCAACGTTTTAAAGCAAATTTAACTATGATTTGGAGTGCCATAAATTAAATTCTTATTTTGCATAAACCTCATAGTTATGATTTTTTTAAGCTCAACTCTACGTTTTCATTTATTTAAAAAATAGAAATTAAACAAAAACCGTATCTTAAGAACGAATTGAGTTATTACGATGAAAAAACGAATGGTTTAAAGCAAGTTTAATGTCGTATCTCAAGAGCGACTTAAGATATGTTGATAAAATAAAATATATTTTAAAGCAAATTTAATGAAGATTAGAGAGAGAAAATAACTTTATTCTGCTATCGACCGTTATAGGGTCTTTCCGCTTACATTAATTATAAAATAACAGTATATTTATGTTTGTGAATTTATGTTGAGTTCTTCGTATAATGTTTTAGGTTTTTCTTCGTTCGTTCGAGTCTTGCACATCTGCTCGGCATTTTTGGAGAATTTTTCTTTCAGTATTTTATGCCTCACTGAGATTGGTTTTATTTCCGTTCTTGAATATAGATCCTCATTGTTTATGTTGTGGAGTGGATTGTTCGGGTGTCTAATTTTTGTCAGAATTCGTAAACATTTTCTTTCTGCTGTCCTGATTACTTCCATTGTTGACTCCGGGGAATATATAGTTGTGAGATGTCCATAATCGAGGAGTGGTCGGGATATATTTTTATAAATTTGTATCGCCGATTTTACAGAAATACCCCTGTCTTTGTAGGTCAATGATCTAAAATGTTTTGCTCGTTTTGTTATCTCTGTTTGTATTTTTTTGTAGTGTGCTTTGAATTTCAACTTGCTGTCCAGAGTTATGCCCAGATATTTGACCAAGTTTGTAGGTTTTGTAATTGATGTGCCTGTCGTGATGTGCTGGGATTGACCGATGATTGTGGAGTGTGGGGTCAATAGTTGGAATTTGTCCGGATTGGGGGTGAGTCTCCATTTGTGGAACCAGGATGATATGTTGTTGTATAGCGTCTGGAGTGATTCTATTGCTATTTGAAGGTTTTTTCCATGTGATATTAGTGTTGTGTCATCTGCATATTGAAGTATGTAGCTATCCGGATCAATATAGCTGGTGTCTGGATGGGTTGGAGGGTATACATATATCATAGCAGTAGACGTTGTACAGGGTAGGTGAGATTGGGGATCCTTGAGGCACTCCTTGGAGAGGGGAGAAAGGGAAGGTTGTAGCATTGTTAATTTTGATGCTCAGTGTCTTGCCGCGACGATATTCATCTATAATTTTCAGGTAGAGTGTAGGTATTCCTAATTTATCCATCTTGTATAGAAGACCCTGGTGCCAGACTGTGTCGAAAGCTTTATTTATGTCAAGAAATGAGATTGCGGTATTTCGGTGATGTAGGTTCGTTACTTGTATATTATTTGTGAGAATAAAGAGTGGTTGAATTGTTGATTGTTGCTGTTTGAAGCCGAATTGGTATATAGGGATTTTGTCTTTGATAAGGTGAAGAATTCTGGAATTAAGGATACTTTCGTACATTTTTCCAATTGCAGACAGTAGGGTGATAGGGCGGTAGCTTTGTGGAAGAGAATGGTTTGCTTCAGATTTGGGGATTGTTATAATAGCTTTTTTCCATGTTGATGGGAATATAAGGTTTTGCATGCAGAAATTGAAAATTTTACGGATTAAGTTTCTAGGATCTAGGTTTAGTTGTCTCAGTAGTTTTTTGGTTATTAAATCCAATCCGGGGCATGAACTTTTGCCTTTTGAGAGGTGTTCATTATATTCTTCTTGAGTTATTTCTAGTATTCCTTTATGCGGGTGGGTTGGCATAATTAGAAATCTTGTGTACCATTCATTAACAATCATCACCAAGAATAGGTGATGATTGTCGTAATCGTGGTTTGGTTTGGGGGTAAACGCACTTTGAAAGTGTTGGGCAAGTATTTCGCATTTCTGTTGATCTGTTCTATATTCTTTATTGTTGTATGTTATTGTCGGAATGTCGCTGGTTTTCTTGTATTTTGTCACTTTTTTGATTTTCTACCAATATGTTCTGCCGCGATACGTTTATATTTCTTTGCATATTTCTAACCAACGATCTAGTTGGTATTTTTGGATTAATTTTTGATTTTTTTTGTTTTCTCTGTTTAGTTCATTTTTCAGTATTCTATTGTTTGTTGGTTTATATTCTCTGTATATTCGTCTCTTGTTGTGAATTATTTCTAGTATTTCGTTGGGAAGTGTATATATATGAGGAGTATATTATTTTCGGTGAGGGGGGTATTATTGATTGTGTAAGGGAGTTGTAAAAATCTTGTATGAAGTTCTCCTTTATTTGTCTTGTTCTGGATTTGTTTATAA